CGATTACATAACTATTTTTGACAGGGTGGGATGGTAGTTCACTGGACGACACTGTGTATATTGGGCGGCTCCTTTGATATCTCCTCCAAACATACTTTTATTGAATGACCCCATTAAACGATGATACACATCTCGATGAATATTTCAAGGCACTAATTCATCTTTCATAAACTTTTTTTTGTCTTTGTGCTTAATATATCCACATATCAACGAAAACTTGTAAAACATGTATCCACAAAATAAATATACATTTTCAGGCTAGGTATTTGCCCACAGCAACACCTGCATAACTGTTTATTCACGCGTGGTGTGGTAGATCGTAATTGACCGAGAGCAGGTATTGTAGAATCACCTGTAAATAAGACCGACACTATAATTGGATACAACGTCCTAATGAGAATATGAGAATTATCATAAGAAGGCTGTTGTTTTTTCTGAACTGTTACCATTTTCATACCAAAAGTGACAATGCATTTAAAAGTTGCTTTAGTGTTATACTATTCACTCAAGTTTTCCTCAATCGCCTGTAAACATAATTCCCATTGGTCAGTTCGACACCGCATATAATTAAATAATTATTTCGAGATTTCGTTAGAATGTGAGATATTCAGCCAGACGTTATGTAATGAAAGACGAATCGTTTTTTGTTGCCATTAAAATACGCGAACGTGTACCTGTATATTGCATACTTAGTGTCACCTACTTTCCCAGTGTGATGTTTCAACGAGACATAAAATGGGAAATGAAAAAGAAACTGACTAAACTTTAATGTGTTGGAAAATGTGGCCAATGAATTGGCGTATCGTTGCAATATGTAAAAAAGGTGACATTTGTAAAACTTTTGTAAAGGAAACATCCAACCAAAGGCCCTTTTTAAATAGTAATGTAATGATATAATATAAAGTATATTTCACATGATACAATACACTCTGTACACAATTAGTTAATTATTTAAAGGGACTGACGAAAACATGGGCGAAATATTTTAATAGTTGAATTAAGGTAAAATGAGTTGAATCATGTGTCATGCTTATAAAACCCTTTTTGTATTTGCGAAACTAAAATTGTTGAGCAAAGGAAAATATTCTCGCCCATGGGCCAAACCTTTTTCTCGCCCATAGGCGAAATATTTCAATATTGCTATAAAGTAGTTGAATTAAGTTCAAATGAGTTAAATTTTGTGTCATGATACTTGAATGAATACATTTAATGTATTTGCGAAACAAAAACATGAGTTTTAAGGAAAGGAACATATTCTCGCCCATGGGCCAAACCTTTTTCTCGCCCATGGGCGAAATATTTCAATATCGCTATAAAATAGTTGAATTAAGTTAAAATGAGTTAAATTTTGTGTCACGATACTTGAATAAATACATTTAATGTATTTGCGAAACAAAAACATGAGTTTTAAGTAAAGGAACATATTCTCGCCCATGGGCCAAACCTTTTTCTCGCCCACGGGCGAAATATTTCAATATCGCTATAAAATAGTTGAATTAAGTTAAAATGAGTTAAATTTTGTGTCATGATACTTGAATAAATACATTTAATGTATTTGCGAAACACAAACATGAGTTTTGAGTAAAGGAACATATTCTCGCCCATGGGCCTACCCATGTGCCAGTCTTCGACCATGGGCAGGCCCATGGGCGTGATAGTGTAAATATTGAGTTTTTTAACAATTTATTTTTCATTTTTTCTTCCTTGGTATGTTCCCATGAAAACAGTATGTTTAATTTTGTAAATACCTTTGACCGAGAGTCGGCAAAGACCGTAGAGTTTCTGGACTTTTGGGTTTCCAGAATTAAAATGGGACGTGTTATAGACATTATTATCAGAATATTTTTCTGTATAGTAAATAGGAATACGTATTCTGTGTTCCTTACAGATGATATTTGCAACGTAGAAACACATGAGGGTAATTGTGTCATTCTTAAATATTCAATGTTTAAGACGTAATTTCCTCAATGAAGCTCCGTGAAGATCCGAAAATGTTTTTGTGTTTGTTTATTTGTTTAACGCCGCCCCACTCAGCAATATTCCAGCTATATGACGGCGGTCAGTAAATAATTTAGTCTGGACCAGATAATCCAGGGATTGACAGCATGAGCATCGATGCGCGCAATTGAGATATGATGACATGTATCAACCAGTGAGTGAGTGAATTAAAATTAACGTCGCATCTGTATTATTTCACCCATATAGCATAGACCAAGTTAATTTATTCACAATTTAGTAGATTTAAAAACAATTTATGAAACATATTTGAGCATACAGTATTCGAAAACAATTCATGAAACATATTTGAGCATTACAATATCAGGTATACAGTTTTGAAACACGGGCTATAGGCCACCAGTGACCAAAGCTAGGCCACCTCGCAGGGGATCATGGGGACTTACAGTACCTCTGCTTCCTGCATGATACCCCAGCAGGATTTACGTCATCACTTTAGCTGTTGGTGGTTGTGCACAATGCTAGCCAATATTAAAAACTACTTAGCAATGAGTTGGCTCAAAAACACTGGTTGATGATACTTACATCGATTATGATAGGATTACGTGTCTCACAATGGGACAATAATTTTACAATACTTTAACCCCCTGGACAGAGCCTTCAATAATGTCAGTTGATAATAGCATCACACCAAATTTAAGAACAAGCATTTATTTATTCACATATATACATATTTAAAATTTATTATACAGACCATTTTCTTTCAAATAGCTGATAAGAAGATGCCCGCTGACACGGGAAAAGAGATCTTTTATATTTACGCTTTGATGATGTGAATCCCTTGCCATTGCAAAGTGCACACAGTCAAGCAATACGCGCTTGGCGGTGAACCTTTCATCACATGGGATAGGTTCGTCCTCGTCTGTCTTAAGCAGACATTCGTGGGTAAACCGACTGTGGCCAATATGACATCATCGTAAAACGATCTCGTCTTGACAACTCAAGTAGGTTTGACCGATTGTTTGTTTTAATTCGTGAAGTTAATTGCTTCCTACCTGGGTGTCCCACCTCTTTTGCATGAGATCCCAACTATAACTTTTAATAGTTGGTTTGAAATCGCTGTATGGGATAAGTAGTGGAGATAACGGTTCGTAAAGAGCTGCTTTAGCTGCAGCATCGGCTTTTGAGTTACCTATGATACCTACATGACTTGGCAACCAGCAAAAGACGATGTCACATTGGCAAGTAGAAAGACCATTGAAAAGTTCTTCAATGTCTAGGATTATAGGATGATTTGAGGAGACACTTTTAAGTGCCTGAAGGCATGACATGGCATAGAAGAAGATGAAATTTGTAGATTTTGTTTGATGTTTGATATAGGTCAAAGCAGTAAAGATAGCTTTCGCCTCAGCAGTAAAGATAAAACTATTATCTGGGATTCTTGAGGAGACAGTTCTGGCACTTGCAACTTTGCCACCATCCTTCGACCCGTCTTTAAAAATGGATCTTTGAAAATTATATTTTGATTGTAATTGGTTATATGCTTGTAGATATACCACACGATTAGTTTCTGACTTTTGTAGCTGGGTTAGAGTGAGGTCTAACTCTGGCTTCACCATATGCCAGGGAGGAGAAGGCGGTAAGGTGATATGATATTTAGGTCTATTTTAGCGGCAGTGGTGTGTAGTTGAATTCTGATTCTAAGTGGTGGAATAAAGTTGGACAGATTTTGAAACTGGTTTTCATATTGAGGGTGAAAAAATTGCAATTGTATGCTGGATTTGATTTATCTGAATGCAATTTAGAAATGTAGGGCAGTGAAAGTTTAATGCGGCGCTGTTCGTGTGAAGGTTCATCAGACCCCACATACAAACTGTCTTAGGCCCTGATGGTGTATTGAATCTTATTTTTCTAAATTGCTTTTACAAGCTCCACCATAGACAATGTAACCGTAGTCTATTTTGGAGCGTGTTAACGATCTGTACAAGTGAATGAGGGTTGTCTGATCCCCTCCCCACTCGGAATTTTGAAACGGCTTTTAACAAGTCGAGAGCCTACAGGCACTTTGCCTTGAGATATTTGATGTGTGGTAAGAATGTGAGTTGACAGTCAAGTATGAGGCCCCGGAATGTGGCCTGTTCTACTACGATAGGAGTACCATCTAACAATAAATATAAGTCCTTGTGAGCTTTACATTTACGACAAAAGTGAATACAGTTTATTTGGATTGAGAAATTTTGAAGCCATTTTCGTTGGCCTATTTTGTTAAGACAGAGCTGTAGCTGTCTTTCTATTGTATTCATATTCTTACCACGACAAGAAATGTTGAAATCGTCCCCAGAAAGTGAACCATCAACGCTATTGTTTAATACTTTAGTGAGACTATAAATTTTGATGCTGAAAAGTGTGACTGATAGTATGCTTTTGTCATGGTTCTGAAATAGGGATGTGCATAACTTTTTTCTTTGTGTATAGTTCCTTGAGGATTGACCTTTATTGTTTAAAAGTACGTCTCGTACGATATTAAGAATAAAGATTGTTTGAAATAGTGTGTGCACAAGGCATGATATGACCAGCTGATTCTATCGCATGTATGGACAAACTTAGGGTCGAAGTGGTATGTTGGACTAAGAAGCACTATTGCCGGCTCCGTCGCCCTCAACCACCATACTCCCTTCCTCTGACGACACAGGGCAAACAGGCTGCCCAATTCGGTCGCCTTTTACGATCAGCAATGGGGTGCTGAATACGGGGAACATTCATGAACCAAGTCAGCAAGCCTGACCACCCGATCCCGTTAGTCGCCTCTTACGACAAGCATAGTCACCTTTCACAGCAAGCATGGGTTGCTGAAGACCTATCCTACACCGGATGTTCACGGGTCCTAACCGAAAATGAGGAATGAACTCTGAATGAGGATAAAAGATTAAAACCGAAAAAGGGTGAATCTGATCAAATCCTTGTAATATATTTGATAAACTGTCGGAATGCATGAGGAGCCTTTGAATCTCTGACAAGATTCACACTTTGTTGATTTGTTTCAGGAAACCATGAAAACCTGGCATAGTTTGCATAAACCAAACTTCAACTACTTCGCAAACATCCGTCACATGAAGCACTGGATGGAGCGGATTGGACGTAATGTAAGGAATCTATTTTATCAATTGATCCACATATAATCGTGTCAATTTGGATATGCATATGTAATTGTGTCTTGTCATTTATGTGTTCACATGGACATAAAAGTCCATATGAAGAGTGAGTGGGTGAGTTAGGTTTTACTCTGCTCTTCGCAATATTCCAGCAATATCATGGCGGGGGACATCGGGAATGGGCTTCACACATTCCATCTATGTGTTCCTTCGGCGTGACGAGTGAATGCTTTTAACACGAGGCTACGCTACCTTCCCTCATATAACGAGAGATGCATTCCTGGCTCCAGCCTCGTTAAGATTCAAAGTAAGACATACCCCAATATGTAAGTTTTTTATTGTTTTTTTTCAAAACTGTATTATTGTTCCCAGAGTTGATGATTACAGTATTCCGTCAAAAACATATTTCGAATAGCATAGAGTGGCACGTATGATGTGTGATCGTGTCTTTTCGCATAAGCATTATGTAATTGTGCCCTGTCACGTGTGTGTTAATAGTCATACCATGCATATGTTCATATGGACAAAAGAGTTCATATGAAGCGAGATATATTGCAGGGTCCAGCACATTTGTTAACATTCAAAGTAATGCTTCTCAGAAACATTCAGATACCTAAATGTGTGAGGTGAAGGATTTCCTGACAGGAGATATCTTTGACAAATTTCGGCATTTAGACAAGTGGCCAATCTAGGTATCCACATGGGTACTAATTGTTCCGCTCTCTCAGCTGACACGTTTCTTGTCACACTCGAAACGAAAATTATACCTACATTAGGTAAATCAAAGAAGGGACGCGTTGCCAAAACGTTCAACCTGTTTCAGATAAATAGATGGCTTATTTCCTTCCGACAATTCCACGACAGATGCGTATCTTCACCTCAGCTTTCAATCAGCGTTGGAAATCAATGAAACAACCGAGACACAATATTGATATCTTGTCTGGATCACAGAAATGATAGCAGCTTCTGTTTCAAACGGTACAAGCAGATTTTCCAATCGTGAATCCCCCTTCATGTAGAACAATGTACCCCAAGGTCCAGCTTGTGGCGTCTACATTTCTAAATTGTTTACGTACTTAGTAGCATGTACATGTTTTGCAAATTGTATGGAAATACACATTACGCTTACAACTAAGCTTTTCGGTCACAGTTTCAACATCAACGATCTGGAGAAGTCATTCCAGAATTGGATGATTGACATTCAGAGGAATTTACCAAACATGTCATGTCACTTGCCAACATTATGACCTTCAGAAAGGTTTCATCTTACTCACTGGCAACTAGTGAAAATGTTGATAGTGACAGGTGCTACCGTTGGAGCAGGAACGTTTTATCTCAGTGTCATTACTGATTTTCAATGATTCATTCATTGCTATTTAGCCATTTAACCACTGAAGAATCCGTTTCTCTTTAGACCATTTCCGTGATATCACTGTATATCAGTTTAAGAGAATGCCCGACTATAGGAGTGTACCAGTGTTGACGAAGATGGGACACAATTCAGATGCTCCTGGCCTGGTGTGTAGGTCTCTCTTAAATTTGATAAGTATTGGTGTGCAATGTATACTTTAAATCTCACATAAGTTGACTGGAATGGGGCAGACATTGGTAATAGCGTCCTCCTACCAGTCTATACTGATGACAACTGTATATATCTCTGAAATGAATGGAAGCTGGTGATGTTTAGATGTCAATTCTTTCTTCCTACAGATGGAAGACCTTTCCAAACTGAACGTTCTGCATATCACTGGCACAAAAGGCAAAGGCTCAACAAGCGCTTTTTGTGAAAACATTCTTCGTCACCATGGCTACAAGACTGGCGTATACAGGTATGGTCGACTCAGAGCTTGACACGAGTGAGTGCGTGATCAGGTTTTACGCCGCTTTTAGAAATATTCCAGCAATATCATGGCGGGGGACACCAGAAATAGGCTTTCACACATTTTCCCCATGTTGGGAACCGAACATGGGTCTTCAGCGTGACGAGCGAACGCTTTAACCTCCAGGCTACCCGACCGACCAAGCATGACACGAACGTTAAACACATATTTCAAACGAGTTAATTAATATCATTATGGGTAAATTACCTTTCAAAAGAAGACGTGTAAACACGAGCAAAATTTACACACCTGAATTGTTAGTGTTTTGCCATTTGATTGGAGGATTTAGAAGATTCAATTTTTGTTTTGTGACCAAGATATGATGGTTTATACATGAGGCATTTTCCTGCTTGACCAAATAACTAATCGAAGCCTGTCAACAAAACATTAACTTACTCCAGTCTCGATTAATTTTGAAAAGACCTGAATGTCAGGACTTCCTAAATCATAATATCAGCGTTCTGACTGTGCTAATTTGCAAAGACAATTTTTGTAGCTATTGATATTGATATTGAACATTAGAACACTTTGAAACCTTTTCACATTTGTATACTCGCATCCTTAAATATGGGATATATGCACACCATGAACATCACGTAAATTAGATTCTCATTCCTTCTTTTATTCCACAGGAAGGGCAGAGAACATGATTTCGTTTTTAAATGACCAGTTAGTTGTACTATGATATGACCTTGGTGATCATTTTAGGGATTAACAATGAAACTACTATTGAATATAGATCAATATAAATGTTGATCTTATGATTAATGTCAATGTCGATATTACTGTAAAAATTCTGTCCCTTACAGAAAGATGGATTACCCGTGAAGATCCGAAGTAGATTAGGTCTTCACTAACCCATGCTTGTCGTAAAAGGCGACTGTGTTTGTTTTAAGAGGAGACTAACGGGATCGGGTGGTCAGGCTCGCTGACTTGGTTCATGCATGTCATCGACCCCAATGGCGTGGATCGATGCTCATGTTGTCAATCACTGTATTGTGTGGTCCAGACTCGATCAGTTTACAGACTGCCGTCATATAGCTTGAATACTGCCGAGTGCGGCGTTAAACAACAAACAAACAAAACATTATTCACTCGTCACCATATGAACACAATTAACGAAACCTATTTTGCCTTCTGTCATTCATAGCTCTCCTCATCTGGTGAGCATAACAGAGAGGTTCCTTTTTGACGGCAAGCCAGTCGAGACGAACGTGTTCAAGGACCACTTTTGGGACATCTATAATAGACTCTTATACTCAAGGGTACTAATATTTACAATCTGAGAAAATTGTTATTGTATAGGCAACACGAATATGAGTCATCGTGAATTGGTTGGAATATTTGGGCAAGACCTTGTCACCAAGAGTGTACCCCTCCTCCCTAATCTGTTTCGTCATGCGTACGAGTCAAAATTCTGATCAAGACAAGGGATCAGATATGTTTAACTTAAGCTTCGGGTATATGGTGATCAGGGCTCCGTTCTACAAAGCGATCTCAGCGCTAAGATGATCGTAACTCCCGTACTTTAACACAGGCTTACGACAATCATAGCACTAAGATCGCTCTGTGGAACGGGCCCCTGCCCTGATGCCGTTAAGAAGAGGTCATATAGATAAACATATGCATAAAACTGTATGACAAGAGTATCAATTCCACATTCCCGTTAATGTCGAGCAATGTTCCAGCAGCTCTTTTTGACTTTTGGTGTTTACGTTTCACATCTTGTGGTTCTTTTACTGTCCTTTGTCGACAGATTTTACAGTCCATAGTTATGTATTATTACTGTACAGCTTGATTTAGTCACGATATAGTTGAAATATTGCCGATGTGACTATAAATGTTAACTCATTCACAACTTGTGAGGTACAACGCATGCTTGTGATACTGTTGTAACCATACAATGGACTAATTCTCATGATCATGGCCATGGAATGTGTGCTGTTTCTATTTAATTGCATTCAACGTTTTGGTTCACACTTTAGAAAGAACAATGTCAGATTAATGCTCGACATATCACGGTGATCTCGAAATAGTTCAATAAATACATCTCGAGGAATATGTCTCTAATATCACGAACAAAAAGAGATAATGAAAATCAATTGACTGTTTACAGGAATTGGAAGACGATATGCCCCATGCATTTGCCTTTCTGACACTTCTGGCTTTCGACCTTTCTCTTGCACAAGGAGTTGATGCTCTGATTCTTGAAGTGGGAATAGGAGGCCAGTACGACTGCACGAACATTGTTGAAACACCTACTGTGTGTGGCGTTACCTCGCTGCATGTGGATCATATAAATTATTTGGGAAACACTATAGAATCAGTGGCCTGGCACAAGGGAGGGATCTTTAAAGTAGGTTTGTGCATGATATAAAACAATGAAATGATATTGTTAAAGTTGAATTATCAATAATCTATTGTGATGTCCATGTTAGTGAAAATCATGAATCTGAACGGCTAGTATAAAATAATGAAATGATATTGTTTATGGTTCGGATAATCAATAATCTATTGTGATGTCTATGTTAGTGAAAAGCACGAATCTGAACTGCTAGTTAATTTGTAAAATGACATCCGATCCTCATTTCCGTCTACTCGCATGCAATCCATATTACCTGTAACACGTGCCATAGTTGTCAAATACAGTGCACATTATGTAAAAGTAAAAATACATATGGTTTGTTGAAACTATTATAATCGTCAGTCGAGGTCACGATTCGGTATATTTCAGCCAGGCACACCAGCAGTGACAGTGCCTCAAGACCCACGTGCAATGAAAGTCCTAGAAGACAGAGCTGAGGAAATAGGGGTAAAACATGTTCAGTTACTCAGACACGATTATTCAGGATATTATGTCCTCTTCCCCGTGGTCTAGTAGATCGAGTGGGTGCCTTGAGAGTAAGGTCAGTGTTTCGATGCCCTGGCCATGTCTTAAAAGACGAAGAGAGATTGTATGAGTTGTTAGCCTTCGTGGCGTCCGGCATTAATGGGACACAACATAGACTGTCTAGCTTGGCATTAGTGCAGTGTGTCTGAATGTGGTATCCGTTTTAAACCACGGCATAATATTTCATTGGGTTAGCAATGTAAAACCAGCATTAGTCACGACTACAGTAAACAGCCAAACACAAATCGGTGGCTATACATAAGGGCGATTATCTTGAACGCGACGTTTAACACCATGTCGCCTCCCCTCACTTTACCTCACCTTACCTATGTATATTCGCCAATGTGGACGGAACACAAAACGTGTTTTTCTTCAGTTGAGCTTATCGATCAGTGAGCAGGGTTATATAGTCGTGATAATCTCAAACATTTTGGATACATACGTTTTTTATGATTTGATTTTATAGACATGATTTAAGCAAAACATTCAATGTTTCCTGAATTGTACTGGCTTTATTCCAGCTATTTGTTTCTTTTACTAGACAGCCTTATATGAAACCCCGTCACTGGCCTCCTATGACAATGGACCTGAGCCAATCAGATTGGGTATTCCAGGTCACGTGCAGAATGTCAACGCTTCCCTTGCACTACAGATGTGTAAGATTTGGCTGAAGGCTGGAGGAAATGGTAATAACAAAAGTTTACAGGAACCTGCTCCATAGAGCTATCTCAATGCAAAGGGTAGGATCATTTAATACTCGGTTTTTGGAGAATGAACGGGGGGATTGTGTCCGTCACATAAAGACATACAATTTTATACCCTGTAAGGAGCTAATCTATAATAAGCTGGAGCAAAAACACTTTTGGGCGTTTTTTTGAAAAAAACGACAACTTAGACAAGTTCTTTTTTGTCAATTATTTTCTGGAACAAAATGTTTAACTTAAGTTCTTATCCAAATTCTGTGATGAAATGAAATCATTGGTGATGCGAAATGTTACTTACATGTCGCTATAAATAGGCATACATTTCAGAAAGACACCGCATAACGTGTAACACATTTGTTTTCACAAATCCAATTCAATAGCTGTGCCATTTTTTTTAAATATGAATTGTCATATGGTTAATATTGGTATACATTTCATGTGACAGGGTTCCGCAAGACATCAACTGATGAAACAATCTCCTCGGTCATCATGAAAAGAAGCGAAAAGGCACAAGGATTCAAACTCACTGACAGCATCAAGAATGATAAGAATATTTATTGTTTATACATACAAAAACGCAAAACAAATCGCGAAGTCATTTCTATAAAGAAACAAGTCACCAATAATAACTTCAGGGACTTTTTATTTGATCATTTACATAATACACTGTGGAAAACAACTCCTAATCAGTGACATCTTTTGAGCAACAATGTCCGCTTACCCTAGTATCCGCCAATAAGGAAACAGCAGTCCTCCAGTGTACGTGGCACACTTTCTTTTTGGTTTGCGAAAACGTAAACGCGAGAGAATTTTGCTTGGTTAGCTAAACAAGGGTCACTAACTCAAATGCAATTATATATATATTTATATATTTTCGTAAAACTCATAGTTATAGCTTATGGATGGTATTTCGCTAAGTTAGTGTAAAATGAAACCTCTTTATTGGTACTGACATTGGTTTCCCTTTCTAAGTTTGGCCCAAACAAGTCTCCCGGGAAGGGCCCATGTAATCTCCCGGCCTGGAGTGACCTACTACCTGGACACGGCCCACACTGACCTCAGCATCCAGGTATTCATGTGGCCTTTGTAATTTATTTGTTCTTCAAATCAGAGGAGAATTCTGAATATGCTTTATGCTTAATTGGACAATGAATTGGTTATGACAGACCCCTTTGGGGATTCCGGATGAACAAGCTTGTCGTAAGAGGTGGTTTGGATCAGGTGTTCATGCTCGCTTACTTGGTTGATTGCGTGTCATCGTACCCAGACGGCGCGGATCGTTCCTCATAACATTAATCTACACTCGATTATTGAAGGACCGTCATCATATTGGTGGAATAATGCTCAGTGGTGTTAACCAAAAAACAAACAAAAGCTTATGAGTGTAAACCTGTTGGTAATTGTTGCTTTCAGTCAGTGTGCAGAATATCAACATTGTCACTAGAGTCAGGAAAGGCTATCCGAAGCAAAGGTCTAGGTATACGACGACACACATTCAGCCTGGTCACATATTGTAGCTACCCAAACCTCATACCAACTCGGTACTGGAACTTGTCCTGCCCTAAAATCACCATTTGGTGAATAAATACTAAAATTAGTATATTATTCCAAGGGTATATTTAACCATTCATGTCCCATTCATACCTATGGAAAGTATGATGTTTCTTTCAATTTATCAAAAAAATCCTGTTAAGTGAAAGTGTTTTGATGGGACATGATTAGTTTCAAACCTTTGTATGTGCATATTAAATATGATCTAGTAAAGATCATCGAGATGGCTTGATTGATACTGAAAAGACATTGTTTGCACAGCCTGCTTAGCGAATGAGTTGTTACTAATAAAGAAATCTAATTGTTGTCAATTGCACTTTATACAAACGTTATTTCCACTCGTTTGTTACAGCACTGTGCAGAGTGGTTCGATCAAAAAGCTGACGAAGAACGTTCAAAACTGAAGTAAGTTACCTGCAAGAGTGAGAGTGAGTTACGTTTAAAGTCACTACCTGTAAGAAGATGTGACTATTTGAGGTAACAGTGGCGGCATTTCTTTGCGAGGAAAGTGACGCAGCCTGTTTGTTCTTATCATCGTGTTTGTACGGGTTCGTTCGGAAATTCTCCTCAAATTCGATCTTGGAAATGTGAGGACGTACAGCCATAAGTATATATTGTTTTTACTAACCCCTTCTTAGTAAACACATTTAACAATTGTTGTATTGGCACTATGATGAATATTTGTAGTATAACAGGTATTATAAAATATATAATATATACTTTTTTGTGATCTAATAATCATATCTTGTTGTTCCTTCTTGTGTATATTGCCTGTTTTTACACACACACACACACCCCCACCCCCCCACCCCACCCCACACCCCACCCCGGCATATAATGCGGGGGGATATACCGATCAGCCACTCTGTCTGTCCGTCCGTCCGTAATCATTTCCTTTTCCGGAGCAGAACTCGAAAATAATTCAGTGTATTTGATTGAAACTTGGCATATCTATCAGTCACATACTGAAGTTATGCCTTTTGCTACTGAGGAATTTCTATTTTTTACGTTTCCATGGTAACAAGTTGGACTATAAGGGTGGTGTTCATTTCCGGAGTGTATCTCAAAAACCGTTAAATACTTTCTTACAAAACTTTGCGTGTCTACCAGGCACATATTGAACTGGTGCCTTTTGGTATTTAGGGGAAAAAATATTATTTATTTTTTACGTTTCCATGGCAACCAGTTGGACTTAGGTTCTGTAGCGTAGAGTTCGTTTCCGGAGCATAACTCAAAACCCATTCAAAACTTTCTTACAAAACTTTGCAGGTCTATCATACTCATGCTGAACTGGTGCCTTTTGCTATTTAGGAATTTTAGAATGTTTTATTTTTTTACGTTTACATTGCAACAAGTTGGACTTAGGTTCTTAAAGGGTTGTGTTCATTTCCGGAGCGTAACTCAAAAACTGTTAAATACTTTCTTACAAAACTTTGCATGTCTACCAGGCACATACTGAACTGGTGCCTTTTGCTTTTTAGGAATTATTTTTATTTATTTTCTTACGTTTTCATGGCAACAAGTTGGATTTAAGTTTTCATATAGGGTGGGTTGACTAATGGAGTATAACAAATAAACTGTTAAATATTTCCTTGCCAAACATTGCAGGTCCATATATAAAGTACATACTGAACAGGTGCCATTTGATATTAAGATGTTTAAGAAATGTTTATTTTAGAATTTCCATTGCAACTATTTTGACATGGGCTGAGAGAAATGTTGGGTCAGTTACCTGGTTTGGGACCTTAACGTGTTAAAATGGGTGGGGGATATAGATGACTTCGTTGACTATACGCTTGTTTCTTGTCATTTGTCATTTGTTTGCATTAAAAAAACACAGAAACACACGTTTTACTTTCCATTTCATATGGATGCGACCATGGTGGATCTTTTGTTGGTAAACAATGTATGCTTCTTAAAGAACATTCAACTCTTGACTCATTACTTACAGAATTGCACATTTACTTATGGTTACTTTACAGACACCTGCCGGGGGGATATGTCATCTTTCTGATGACTCTTGTTATAATTAGGGGAAAATAGGTACCATCCGTGTATCCATGGCATATGCGTATCGAAATATGATGACATCGCACAGATGTTTCTGTCGACGTCACATGTCACATAGTACAAACCACGTTATTCATTACAGAGGACGTGTTGCTCGAGTAATGATTTTCTACGGAGCTGAAGGAAGGGATCAACGCAAACATTTATCAATATTACAGGTAAGCAGGCACATTACAGCCATTTGCAGATAGGCAACATTCACACGTGCTGTCATTAAGTATTGGAGGGGTCTTAACTCAAGTTATGTCAACAGATAAAGGGGAGATAACCATGCGACTTGTGCTTGGAGTATCAATCCCAAATAAAGTTCGTCTAGTTAGTTTGATTCCTTGTTTGTTTAATGCCGCGTTTAGCAATAATCCAACTATACTTACGGAAAAAGTAAGACATTCCTCGACTTTAAGGTCGTGATTCACAATTTGCTCTTGCATGTTGATGCACGGCGCACAATTTGGATGTTTGAATGTATGCGGAGGAACCATGTACAGTGAGTGAGTGAGTTAATATCTTAAGTCACATCGGCAGTATTTCAGCCATATCGTCACTTGGAACAAGTTATTACATAATATTAAAAAAATGTCGTCAAAGGACAGTACAACAACTAGCAATACATCACAGATTATAACTTTTTTTAAACTAGTTTTAGAACAATAAAATGATTGGATTATGACAGATCACACATTATAAAAACAGGCTATTGATCACCAACAACTAAAGTTAGGCAACCATGCCGGGGACCATGGGGACTTAGAGTACCTTTGCTACCTGCATGGACCCCGATAGGATTTACACCATCCCTTCAGTTACTGGTGATTATGGAGAAATTTAGCCAAAATTAAAACAAACAATTATTCGACGATTAAAATCCTGGTATACATAAAGTACTTTGAATGAAATGGGCTTACGCACCCTCTCTGGGGGACAATAATTTTACGCTACGGTACCATGTACAACCGGTTGAGGGAGCACCATATGACTGCGATCTGTAAATCTTGGCATCCGGACCTGGCAATTATGTGAGCATCGATCCACGCATTTGGGAACCGATCAGGGAATCAACCAAGTTGCCAATCCTGATCACAGGTAACAGGTTACTGGGGACCTGTATTCTGACCCTGAATCTCACGGGTTCCCACAATGAAGTAATATAATATCCGTGACTCTGGGATGCTTTGGTCACTTAACTAGAAGAAAGAACTTTTGATATCATATTCCAATGATTACCTTGGGTTCGAATACTAAGTTCCATAACAGTGTCCTCTGGTTTAATCAGAGGGGTAAATACCTTCGAACCTGTACCACAATAAGCTGACACTCGGTGATTTAAGCAGAAGAAAGAACGCTTGATATCATATTCCAATGATTACCGTGGGTTCGAATACTAAGTTCCATAACAGTGTCCTCTGGTTTAATCAGAGGGGTAAATACCTTCGAACCTGTACCACAATAAGCTGACACTCGGTGATTTTAAATGAAATCCTTTTCAAAGTAGTTTTAAACAAAACATACTGAGGGATGTCGGTTCTTGTTTTCCAGCAGAGACTTCCACTGGATGCTGTTATCTTTACGCCGTACGCTAGCCCCACCGAAGACTGTTCTATAGGTAAGATTAATTTTCAAAGATTCGCAATCACTATACAAGTGTTGAGTTTATCAATAGGGGTATATATGTTACACCCAGACTGTGAATTAAGTAATTTCGTAAAATGACTAGTTCTTTCAGTCATTTCGTAAAATGACTAGTTCTTTCAGTCATTTCGTAAAATGACTTGTAGGGTTAGTCATTTCATCAATGCTAAATTAGTATAGCTTAAACAAGGCTCATTCGATTTCCCAGTACAGGTATAAGTATAATTTAAGCAAAACATGTATCCATGACATAAACCATGTTATAAAACCAGATATGTCATGACTCCATAAGAATGCACATAAGATAACCGGAAATATTTTGTTCACTATTGCACGTGAAATGGTGTTTGTACAGACAACAGCAAAACATAGATTCCTTTGATCATGATGATGTTGGTAACAACGTTTTAATAGATATACCAGGATTTATACAGTATTAGCAGTGTTGCCAAATTGCTATTAAATGTTACCAGATGGTTAGAGATTGATGCTATCGAAGTTGCAGTTGACTGACACAGATACAATCTGTAGATAACATGATCACGAGCAATGTCTTGATGAAAGGATGACGATCGCTTTCACCATAGGCTCAGAAGCATTCTTCAATGAATCAATAATGATGAGCCAACAAAAAAACCGTTTTGGCCGAGACATTAAAACTGTCCCCACAACGATCCGTACTGTGTTGCAAACGAACATATTTCTTAAGAGATACTTAACCTTTTTCCAAGTGTATATTTGAAACCGAGGATCTATCTATTTAATTAGGGAAATCAATGAGTTGGTCCGAATTTGACAATCACATATTGAACAGGTTGTGTGTGGACCAGACGTACATGTACTTACCCATAAAATTCTGCTACAATGTGGTTGACTGACCTTTACGATCTAGGACACTTATTATGAACCATGGCTGTTTGAACAAGTTACGATGAGTAACGTGTGTACATATTAAAGCTTGTTAAGCTAATGGCATAATTACCTTCAAGCTCGATTACTCGTTCAGGTTCACAATAGGCTTTCGAAGGCGCACATGTCATAGGAGTACTGCTGTCATAATTGGGCATGAAATAAAAGTCAACACCAAGATCACAGTAGACTTGAACGATTCAGCTATCGATGTGTGATTCTATTTTGGCACATGTCTATTAAGGTCAAGGTCACCAGATGTCACCTGTAAAATGTTTTGACAAAACAATTGCATCATCTGTTGTAATGTTAAGTCAGTAATCATATAAATATCAACAGTACATTCAAATCTGGGTAAATACATAGCGTTTTCTGTTTGCACTCAGGCAAGTTAGCCTGACGTTTTGTGATCCGTGAAGATGATACAGGTCCTCGTACCCCAATTGCGTATATCGATGCGAAAGATGTCATTTACTCGATCGTCAAGTGCACATACGTTTATTTACAGACCGCCATGAAAAAGCTTGACTATTGCTGAGTGCGGCGTTAAACACCAATTAATCTATCAGTCATAACAGGAAAAAGAAACTTGCATGTTCATATTAACCTGGTTTTACAATATGATGTGATTTCAGATTACATCTATGATAATACCCCCAAAGAGGAACAGTTCGCGAACGTTCTATCTTTCAAAGAATTCTGGGACGACAACACATCCACAACCAATCCAATTCCAACAGAAGGTAAACGTTCTGGCCAGCCATGTGCGTCATTTACAGCGCGAAGTTTTCCAGAGGCTCTCATAGCTGCGACCGGTGGGCGTGACCTCAGCATACGTGGCATAGATGATTTCATCTCTGAGGAAAAATATCGCATGACATCTTCAGGCGATCTCTACAGAGATCCGAGTGTTACTCAAGCAACAACAAAAGATGGACAATGTCTTGATTATCCGCAATTGCCAGAACAGGTTCAGAACGCTGATCATGTTCAAATTCTGTTTGCTGGAGGATTCAAGATAATAGGCCATGGTCTGTGGTACCTTCATGGGAAACTATTCTGAAAGAAAACGATAATAAGTGATATAAGCTTACTTGTTGGATAAACATGGTCAGCCAGCCACTATTATTAAATGTTGCAATCTCCATGGTTCCAGAATACCAAATATCTACCTATATTGAGAGCAAGACTGGGAAAAGGGACATATTTGAATACCTTTGCATTACCTCAGCTATATTCTATACGGGCTCATGGTTAATACACCTATTCAAGTTGACATGTCTTTTTGGTTTTAAATACATCATTCCCTTTTCTCGCTATCCTTGTTGCGTGTCATGTTTTAAGAAATTACATCATGCTACACATAACATTCATGTGGGGATTCCGGTCACGGGTAGCGCATGCTGGTTGTAACAGCCGCTAGCTTAATATAACATAAAGATCGGGAGTCGTATGTGACGGCACGTGAGGTTGATCTAACTATCAACCACTGGTTCGCATGACCCAGCTAAAAACAATTGTTACTCGTTACCAGATCTACGTCCTAACACTCCACAATCTCAGTTGCCTTAAATCACAAAAAACAAGCAAGTTAACCAAACAACCTGTTGAAACGACAAAAGTTGTAATGGTGATTTCCAACTGTCATTTTATTGCTAGTGATGATTGTCGACGTAACGTAATCCAAGAAAAATATGCAGTTTTGGTTAAAATAATATAATCTGCTCAGAGATTGCAAACTCAAGGCCCCGTAAAGATTCGGGGTAGAAAAGGTCTTCAGCAACCCATACTTGCCGTAAAAGGTGACTATACGTGTCGAAAGAGGCGGGTGGTGAAGATCGCTGATTGGTTGATGCATGTCATCGTATCGATGTTAATGACGTCAATCACTGGATTGTCTGGTCCAGACTCGATTATTTACAGACCGCCGTCATATAGCTGGAATATTGCTGAGTGCGGCGTTAAACAACAAACAAGGCGTACTCAAGATTTGCAAAACATTTAAGGCTCACATATACTCTTCAACCATTCGTCGGCATACTTTTCATATCTTATCCATTTCGTAGGAAGCAATTATACAGTTAGTGAAACGGCTTTGTTTGTTTTTTGTTCAGGCACTTCACAAGAAAATGTCTGTGATCCAGTCATATAGGTTTCGCCAATATTGTGGCCATTTAAGACCAATGACGTATGTTTTCGGCAGTTCTTCCCTGGTGTTGACGTTTTATATTGATATATAATTTCCAAGTATAATTGTTATGATCGGTCGCTAGAAGATAGATCAACATTGAAAAATGACTGCCAGATTTAGATCGGTTTCGGAACTAAACCAACACAACCACAACCTTGCACGTTGACCATGCAATTCCTTCGTGAACGTAGGCAGGGGGTTATTCCTTACTTTGACACTGAATTCAAAGTTCGTCAGATCGCTCAGAGCCATTAGTATTGTTGATTTTCCTTATCCACAGTAACACAAAGGCTCTCTACTCTTGCTTTTAATGCAGTATTTGTGATCAGATTTGGAATGTGTAGTCCACAACGTAATAAACGCCCAGGGGCTATTTTCATGCTTCAAAGGAGGCTCAGCTTGTGGTAGCTCATATGTTTGGTGTGTCTCAGTCTGTGGTCAGCAGACTTTGAAACGGGTTTCTGCAGACATACAATGCTTATCGTCGGCCCCGCACATGGTTCCATTATTCCTCAACAAAAGTCCAACATTGATTATTCAGAAACCAGACTTTAGGCAATCGACTTTAGGCATATCTCGCTGTTCAGTGACGATGGCCTCGTGTATTTTTTCAGATGAGTGCGGATTCACTCCTGATTTTCTGTATACGAGTGGACGTGTCTGACGGCGTCCTAGCGAACGTCGGCCAATCGTCAACGTTAGGCAACATGGCAGATTTGGGGGTTGGTCTGTAATGATATGGTCAGCGTGACTGTCAGTACACCATTGCCGATGGAAGAGACACTGAACAGTACTACATACACATACACGCTCAAATAATTGTGCCGTTAGCGCGTTATCGATCCACAATCCACGATCTTTTTCAAGACGATAACGCTCGTACGATCTACATCAGCAAAATGTCCCCGGAATGCAACAGTCAATGGTTAGCACAAAATGGTAACTATATTGACCAGTGAAGCCAGTAATATAAACAAACAGAAAATAACTGATTTGGGTCTTTGATGTGTCGATTGTACGCCATCAGATATGTCACTGTCAGTACGTTTACCCTTTTGTATACATAGCGCGCTTCTCCACTCTTGTGTACTAAACCTTAAATATTCCCTACTGTATAAACACTGCCTCTTACCTGTATATAAACTTGTCAACATACTCTGTACATCACTGCTTGATGACGGTGTTAGAACCTACACCGAAACGTCTCTCCCAATTGTAATTAAGAAGCTGTCCATATATGTTACCCTTTCATAATATTACACACAGATACTTATTCAACTGTGTGTTGACATTGCGTGGAAAGCATTAAGAGAGTTACATTGTCCTTACGTCAATTTACAGACCATCGTTCGGACTGTAGGGACAACAGTATTAACCTTCTCTCTTGCTAGACACATTCACCACTGGTTTGCATTGTCCTTTCGTCAATTTACAGACCATCGTACTGACTGCAGGGACAATATTCACCTACTCGCTTGCTTGACACCGAACCACTGGTTTGCATTGTCCTTACGTCATTTTACAAACCATCGTACTGACTGCGGGGACAATATACACCTACTCGCTTGCTAGACACCAAACAACGGTTTGCATTGACGTACATCAAAAATCGCCATACGAAATGTAAACTTGATTTATCTTTGATATATTAAAATAACATAGCAAGGCCAACACGCAAACCTTTTATCACTGTGGCAAATTACAGCTGAACGTGACGAAGACTTTGAGTGGAATAACTTCAGAAAAGACAGCATTGATGTCAACTAGCAAAGTTATTAAGTGGCTATTTTAACAACTTACTTTCAGATCCACTTCAAAACTGCGGCTGAGGTCTTCAAGCGTTTGCCAAGAAATAAGACACTATGTCCGCCAGTTCATTATTCTTCCAATGAAGGCCGTCAATATATTGTTATGTACAATCACGAACTGGACATGGTTGTAAAGAATAACCGATTCGGTTTGTTCAATAAACATCAAACTTCTTAGATTCAACGTCATAATGAAAATATGTATTGCAAGCACATCTCATGCATATTCAAAAACGGTGAATGCACAAGTTAGGTTCTAACCTACGGGTACCTATCTCTAAGTATCATGAAATTCCACCAACTACCTTATTGGTGAAGGAGTATGGAGCAATATGAAGACTCATATAAGAGAGCAATATAAATACATTAACATAAAAGACGCAGGGAGAGTTACCAAACGGCAAAGTGGTGGTTCTCCGTTTACCTTACATTATATAAGCTTGATACTTTTTTCAGCACCATCTGAATTAACGTGCAACTAGTCACCAAACAATCTTATCTTACAACGAACTTGGCGTTGAGATACATCATTCGGATTTTACCACGAACATAACATCAGACTATTACAATACTGTGAAAACTGCGGAAATGGAAACATTGCGATCGTGAAGGTGTACACTTACAGCAGGATAGCTGTGTCATCTGATTACTGTACAGCATCCGACATTTGTTGTCACATATAATACCATTCGGTCTAAATGTGGCTACAATTGAAAGTGCATACATGGTAATTTTGAATCTCGGGCTGTCGCATTAATGGTATATACATGTATTAACATCATCATGAATAGATGTGAACATGGTAATTTAAGATACGGTTATGTCCACGTCCATGTAGCGCTGCGACGATCAGTCCGTTTCCTGTCACTACATTAACATACGACTCACACGAAATATACAACACCTCGCCGTCAACATATTATCAAGACATTGCCAGGAAGGCTTCTATGGGCTTGACATATAATTTTGAGTTAATTATGTGTATTTGCTATGATTATACATTACCTATACAATTCCGAGAATTGAGAATGTGATATTTGCATACATAACTGTACGTCTGTGCATGTAACATAAAACATTAGGAATATAATCTACATGTCATGTATATAAGGGTTCAGAAAAAATGATTGAACCAATTCTACAATTACTGCGAATGTCTCTCTCTATCTATAATACGTAACTTTCTTTTCGAGTAAACTGTTATGATTCAAATTCACCATTACAATACAGTAATATTTTTACCTTTTCTTATCAAAACGGCCTACTAAATAGCACCATTAAAAGGAACAAGACAGCGGTCAGTCAATTGAATACATCTCACCGTATTTCCAAATGATATCAAATACACACTCTAATTATGCAAACATTCAGGACATCAGTTTTTAGTCAGCACAAAGAACATGCATGTGGCGGCGTTGTATTTAGTGCCTTCATAACCAACAATTGTGCAGAATGCCCTTTTCTTATTTTAAAACCATTTTTATTCTAAATCATGAAACCAAGGAAGCAATGTGTTGACCCTGTTGATGCACACATATGCATGCACACACACGCACGCACATACACTAAATAAGTTAATACATTATAAACAAAGAAACAAATATCACATAACTTGCATAAACCTTCATTCAACGGAGTTGTATTCCATCTTCCGGATTCTATTGGCAGGCGGTGACAAGATGTTCTAAAAAATAGCAAGTTAAAGGATAGGGGGTGGAATGTTTATTATGCCAGTTTACACATACGATTTGTGGAGCATTTACTAGAAATTGAAATATCCGCTTTTCATGATTGCTATTATGTATGGGAGAGAGATTTGGAGACATGTGATACCCCAGTCTATAATCATGGCATTTGAGCTGCTTCCCGCGATCACTCGTTCTGTTGTCTCGTGGGGCAAGCGCCGGACCCCAGTGAATGAGGCGTCACGTTTGTTTTGAGTCACCCGTGCTATTACATTGTTGTTTCGTTTCAAAATATAGACAGATGTCATATAATGTCTTCATAATTGATGTTATTATGCCTGTCCACTCGCTGTCTCAGTTTCGTCCCTGACTTTGGCATCTTAAACTATTATTTTGACAGTGATGGCAATTATCTGATAAAAGGTAATGTATCGTCTATGTATTTATTGAGTTTATTTATTTAGTATTTATTTAGTGTATGTGTACGTGCGTGCGTGCGCGTGTGCATGCATGTGTGTGCGTCTACATCAACAAAATTACACATAAATTAAAAGCAGAAATGTTTACTTACGACAATACGGTCAACACATTATTTCCTTGGTTTAGCATAAGAAAAGGGCGAAATTTTCATAATTGTTGGTTATTAAGGTACTAACTTCGACGCAACCACTTGCCTGTTCTTTGAATAAATACTAATGTCCTGAATGTTTGCGTCATAAGAGTGAATAAC